CGCTTAGCAGCAAACGTGTATTGGCCAGGAATAATGCGCCAAGTGACGGATTTTGTAAGGCGTTGTGACATCTGTCAAAGAAACAAGTACGACACCAAGGCACCTGCAGGCATGCTACAACCCTTACCAATTCCAGATCGAGTTTGGGAGGAAATTAGCTTGGACTTTATTTCGGGCCTTCCCCGTTCGGGCAATCTTGACTGTATCCTGGTGGTGGTTGATAGATATTCAAAATATGGTCATTTTCTGGGATTGAGACACCCTTACACCGCCCGATCGGTGGCAAATTTGTTCTGTCGAGAGGTGGTGCGATTGCACGGTATCCCAACATCAATTGTATCAGATAGAGATCCAGTGTTCCTAAGTTCGTTCTGGCAGGAGTTATTTAAGTTGGCAGGCACTAAGTTGAGAATGAGTTCGGCATATCATCTTGAGACGGACGGACAAACAGAGGTACTAAATCGTTGCCTTGAGACATATTTGCGTTGTTTTAGTTCCAAAAGGCCACGAGAGTGGAGTAAGTGGTTGGCTTGGGCAGAGTACTGCTACAATACCAGTTTTCAATCAAGTGTGGGCGGTACTCCATTTGAGGTAGTTTATGGTCGTGCACCTCCTAGGCTACATCGTTTTATACCTGGAGAAGTGAGGACACAATCATTAGTAGAGGATCTTCGGGACAGGGATGAGGTCTTGCGCCATTTGCGTTTCCACCTGGAACGTGCTCAACAACGCATGATTCGGGAAGCGAATAAACATCGTAGAGATGTGGAGTTTGCAGTAGGTGATAAAGTGTTTGTCAAATTTCGTCCTTTTCGACAGCGAACACTTTTCCGCAGCATGAACACTAAGTTAGCACCTCGATTTTTTGGGCCATTTGAGGTAGAGGCTTGTATTGGAGCAGTTGCTTATCGATTGAAATTGCCTGGTACCGCAAGGGTGCATCCAGTCTTTCATGTTTCGCTCTTTCATGTTTCGCTGTTAAAAGCTTCAATGGGAGTGAATTCCGTTGAGCCTACATTCCCTGATCAATTGTTGGGAGATGACCCATTATTTATTCCGGAGAAAGTGCTGGCGCGACGAGAGATAGAGCGCAATGGGGAAATGGTTCCACAGGTTCTAATAAAATGGGTGGATCACGGGGATGATGAGGTAGTTTGGCTGGACACTGAGGAAGTACGTGGCCAATTCCCTAATTTCAGCCTTGAGGACAAGGCTGTTTCCGTCCGGGCAGGAGTTGATAAAGACCAATTTATGAAAGTTTATTCTAGAAGGCTGAAACGGTCTGCGGCTGCTCCTACTGGACCCTAGGGCGTAGGCCCAATTATCCTTATTATTTAGTTAATGTAACTAGTTAAGTTAGTGGGCTCTTAAATGGGCTTTAGGGTTTAATTATTAAATATTAGGGTTTAGTATATATATTGGTGGGTAAGAGTTAGATGGGTATTCTGGAATATTGACGTTTGTGGCAGGCTATCTTGCCTGAGGACCCTTCGGGGTAGTACGTTCATTATCTATTGTTAATATTGCCCTTCACTCTATTAGGTTGCTAGTGGACCAGTAGCCTCACTCCAGGCTATGATTTCTACCCAAGATATTGATCTTCACTTCCATGTGATATATAATACAAGTCGTGTAATCCATCTAATAGTAAATACAAACTTCAGAAAAGATTTTATAGTGTCTGCATGATTAGTGCTTGTTATATTTTTATCAGCTTAATTTTGGGCCTTATATACTTGTATTTAATTCAAGAAAATCATTGCATAGATACTTCTCATGCTGCAACTTCTATGCATTCATAAGAATCCAGTTTTTGACAACTCTCTTCAATAACTGTGGATGGATTTTGTGCAGTGATACTCTCTAATTACTATGACTTGCCTTTCAATGACATACTGAACTGGCACAAGTTCTCGATAGTACTAAAGGAGAAAGATGTGTACCAGCTGAAGCAAATTCTTAAGAACATAACACAAGAAGAATTTGTCATGCTGCACAACAATCTGGTCAAGGTACAAATCTAGCCTTATCTCCTACCACCTGGGAGTTATCTTTCGTTGCAAGTCATGATTGTATCATTTTGCCCTTTATGCATTGTCACGTTAGGAAACTGGTATGGTGGTTTCTCTTGTAATGCTTAATTTTCATTCTATAATCTCCAATTTACAAATTCAGCCAAGAGCATATATTGCCGTCAGAAAATTCAAATTCTTGATGATGCTATATTATCAGGTGCAAAAGCACTTCCAGTGGAACTCACCCCCCCAGAGTCAGGATGCATTTCATATGGTCATGTATGAACTTTGGCTACGCCATCACGTTGTCAAGTATTAACCTTCATAATGCCTCTAAAACGCGTCAAAAGCAGTCTCTTACTGCTGGCTGTGAACCCTAAACGTTGTATATTACTACTTGCCAGTTGCAGTTTGTTCATTCATTCATTATCGTGTCTTCTGTTAGTTTTTCCCTTTTAATCCGAAAATAGAAGGCAGGAGGACTGGTCTGTGTGTTGTGTGTAAGTTGTTGAGTTCGTTTTGTAGCTACATCGAAGATTTAGGTTAGAACAATCACCACATTAAACGTATTTTGGCTAGTGTTATTGTATTCCTTAGTTTTTCTTTCAACGCATTGCTGAGGGTTTGAATTTTTATGCCTTGTGTATTTCATTGTTGTACATATGGGATTTGATTCAATGAATTATATCCGGTAAACTTGAAATAAGTGACCCACACGTGATAAAATTTATTGAAGAAATAGCTATTTTCACTTCGCTCGAAGACAGAATAAGTTTTACACATTGCCAATAATAAGTTGACTTTTTAACCCCATAAAGTGTGAAATACATTATACGATAAGGTATGTGACAAACAGACGAAGATAATGATAAAGTGCGAAACAATTATGCAATAAACTATGCAAAACACTGAAGATAATTGATAAAGTGTGAAACAGTTATGCGATCAAGTATGCGAAAGACATGCAAACATAATTAAAGATTGAAACAATTATACGATAAAATATGCGAAAGATAGGTGAAGAAAGACAATTGATGCAAAATATTATGTGATAGGCAGACGAAGATAATCGATAAAGTGCAAAATAGTTATGTGAGAAGATATGCAACAGACATGCGAAGATAATCGATAAAGTGCAAATATTTATGCGATACACTATGCGACAAACAATCTAAGATAATTGATGCAAAAAGCTATGCGACAGATAGAGGCTAGGATGGTGCAGAAAGCTACGCGACAGACAGACGAAGATAAATGATAAAGTGTGAAAGTTATGCGGTAACAAATGCGACAGAAAGCGATGATAATTGATAAATTCAATAATATTATGCGATAAATTATGCGACAGACAGGCGTTGATTATTGATATAGTGTGAAACTAAAAAAACAAAGATAATTTATAAAGTGCGAAATATTTATACGATATGATATGCGACACACAAGCGAAGTATTATGCGACAAAAAAACAAAGATAATTTATGTGATACCTGCTTTAGCTAATAGAAGCAGTCATATGCATCATACTCATATGAGTCAGTTGCATCATACAAGTCACTTTCAACCATGTTTATTCATTTTTTTGCTTCCAATCTTATGCTTCTGTATATTCATGTAGTAACTATATATATATAGTAGCCTGATTTTGTGATATATAATGATTTTAAATTTTCAGGAACTCAAAGTTGACCCCTCTGCTCCAGGATTCTTTGGATAATTTACATTGATTGTACGCTTACTGGCATAGCTATAAGGTTTCAAGATTTTAAATTTTACTTCATTTATAGGAGGCGATGAAAAATGTTGATGTTTGTACAAATTAGCCCCTCCGATCAAGACCTGGGTGAAACATTGAGTTCTCGATACTTCGCTGCCCAGGTCAGAGGGTTCGACTTGGGTCCCACCGGAAAACAGATAAACGCAAGTGAGCTAAAAAAAACGAAAGCAATGGTAAGTCTTGTTATTTAGAGTTGACAGTCACATTATCCAGAGAATTGCTTTCTGGGTGCTCATTCTGGTCCATTTGTCGAATTTCTTTATTTATTAGCTTGATAAGGCAAGGCAGGAGTTGAGGTTGAAAGACGAGTCTTTGAAGAAGCTTGAAGAGACTTCGGATAACGTCGAAAGCAAGCCCAAAGGAAAGGATCAAGTTTACAAGAACGAGCTGGATAAAATAAACGACTCGAGGGCCAGCTTGACCTGAAGACACTGTATTGTTAATATGAGAAACAAGTGTCACATCTTACCGAGACACTGAAAGGGAAGGAAGAATCTTGTTGAGAATTCAATAGATGGTGGAACTGGAATTTTCGTATCGAAAATTTTGAAAAGAATCGGCTAAATTTCTAAAATTATATACATTGTCCTTGTGGATTTGTTTTAGTACACATTTTTTTTTTTTCTCTTTTCAGTTGCCTTCATTTGACTAATTCTTAGTTTGGGGACGAACATTTATAGAACTGGGGATTTGTGATCCGATTATGTTACGTGCTTGATACAAATTTGTTTCGGTTTGATGTTCTTAAAAACCAACGGTTGCTTGATGAAGTTTTGATGTATTCGATGTCAAAAGATAATCGAAAAGTTTGTGATGAGATCTGATATCAGAGGGTAACTTTTCTATTATTCTTATTCAAAGTTCACAGAATAATTGAAATCATGGTGACTGTTTTGTTGAAGTTTTTTCTTTTATCAAGACTTTTGTTGTTAGTGTTGTAAGTATAGTGCAAATTAGTAGATCGCTTAGACACACACGGTGGTGATGTTATACAGTGCAAATCAGATCAATTCGTTTCCCTACATGAACCACTTGCAAGCGACAACAGCTCAGCGTAGACCTTCTCTTCGTCACTATAAAGGTCTCTGGCGCGACATCTGACCACCTTATAGCCCCCTTCTGGATCAAACCCAAAGCCGTATGCCCATATGCTCGTCAAACGAGGAGAAGCCAAAGAAAAACACGGAAGGGATTTTCTCTCGTCGGTTGTGGGGTCCCACAGGAGGTCCCATGGATATCCAGGGATTTTGTTACATGTCAACAGCATCCATGAGTCGCAACTCGCTAGAACATCATAACCGGTCTTCGACATAATGTGATCGTAGTTGTCAGCTTTGAGTAGAGACACGTTTGGAAGATTATCATCATCATCATCATCTTGCAGCACTTTGAAAGAGTTGTCTTTGGTTGAGATTACTGAGCAGTCGAGGGTTCCATTGCAAACATGCTGCACCATAAGCATCAAATTGCCATTGCAGGGAGCTTGTGGCTGACCTTCTTCTTCATCGGGAATTAGATTGGTGGTGGTGTTTGAGACGAAAAAACATTCAAATAGCCAAAGATTTAGCCATGAATACCTGAACTTGAGGGGGAAGTAGAGGGACGTCGGGGCTGAAGCGGGGCGAGGGCTAGCCGATTTGCAGAGGGCAGTCAGCCTGAGCACCGTGAGTGGCCTGGACGCACGAAAATTTAAGATTATAATGTGAAGAGAGTAGCGTTTGGTGTTATGGTTTCATGTCCATATATTTATAAGAATTCCAAACCATTAAATTTTCTAATACTCTCATTTTATTATTAACAAAAATCAGTATATTGGCGGCTGATTTAGGTTAAAAAGTACGTACACATGACATATATATTAAATGAGTTATTTTCATCTGTTTAAGTCTAAAAAGTATTAGAGGTATTATCTATTTTCTACATCTTTTAATCAACGTTGAGTCTTAAAAACCAATAAGGTTATAAGCTTCTTTCCACATCTTTTAATCAGCGTTGTTTTTTAGTCATAACATGGTTATAAGCTTCTTTCCACATCTTTTAATCAGCATTGAGCCAGAACATGTTAGGGCTGGCTTGTAAAATAATTAATATATTATCTCACTAAAACATTTATACTAATAAAAATTTAATTTTAGCATATAAATTTATTCCTTGGCATAAGCAAAAGTAACAGATTTACTTATTATTGTTCACCATATAATATTTAAGTATTATTATATTATATAATAAAAAGGAATACTGTTAAGTAGTGTAGTAGAATTGTTATAAAATTATATGAATTATTTATTTTTTACAATATGAATTTAATATCTTTTTATAATTTGGTAATATAACTGTAATATATTCTTAATGATATAATAACAAGAAATACATATTTAAATAATACTATGAATTTATTCTTTAATGTTAAGATATTGAATAAGGTAATATATGATTCACTAATTTGTATTCTGTCTCTTTTTATATTGAAAATAATCATGTGATTGAGTAGAGATAATAATTATCTATAAATAATTTTTAAATTGGTCCAAGTGTTGAATGCAGCCCGATTTTCTTGTAACTAAAATGAGAAGAGATTTTTAAATTTCAAAATTTCACTTCAAAACCACACGTAAATTTGGATGCAGTTTTTATTAAAAATAAATTCAACAAAACCCATAATTTTAGGGGAATTTAATGCTACCCTATTTTATGATTTAAAAAATCTAAAAATTTTCTAAATATAGTGTGCAATTAATTATGAGTTGACTTTTATTCCTACTAATTATAGTAAATATGATAGCTATTTATATAAGTATAGATTAAGCATAATTTATGTTCTATCTAGGAGTATGTATCAGCATTGTATTTTCAATTTATGTTTAGATATTTATAAGATTTTTTAGCTGTAAAATTGATTAAAAAAATGATAATTAAAATTACGTATTTTACTTTATGTAGTGTATCATTTTTTTTTGGATCAGTATTTCTATTTAATCAAACAAAGTAAGTCATTGAAAAATAATGAGGTCAAATATATCATAATTTAAAACATAATTTGTATATAATTTTAATATTTAAATAAAGAAGATTACATAATAAAAAAAAAAAAATGTAGACAAACTTCCATTTTTGTAATCAATTTGTTTGTATGAAATTACCGCTCAGGCCAAGATGCAAATATGCCCAATAAATAACAATATTGCTAAAAAAATGCTTTTTGTAATTGCAGAAAATTGTCCACTAACAAATAAAATTTGAGTATAACTTATTTGCTACAACACATATTTTTTGCAGCAAAGTGGCTCAATAGCATCCTTATTATTCTCCTACAATAGATATTAATAATGCTTTCATATTACTGGATAGTTTTTCACTCTCAACACAAATTTAAACAATATACAACAAGTGACGACCAACAATATTTGGATCCAACTATTTCATTCACATTAAAAGATACTCGCAAAAGGTTAGCATCCATCCCACAAACTACTTTTGGGGAGAAAGCAGTTTGTTCTCCTCTATGTCATGTTTCATCGAAGAATCCCCACCCATCAGCTCCTGAAATCCTTCGACTTTCACAGGAGGAGCCCTGGCCATGCCAGTGGTCCTGCAAAGAAAAAACACGCGCGCGTGCAAAAAATAAAAATAAAAAATTACCAACTGTTCTAAACAAAAGGTTTTGACACGCACGCACAATCAAAAGAAGGGGAAATTTTTTTGAATCGGGTTCACAAAATTTAGCTGCTTACGGTGATTGAATTTGTGGAATTTGATGAGGTGCCATGGGCCGAAAGGAATTATTATTGGCATGCATGGATGATATGGAGGCAAGCTGTTGTTGCCGCATATGTTGCAACTGAGGGTGCCTCGAATTCATTGTGGCAAAGGCATTTGCATCCATAGGAAAATCGGGTGGATTTTCCATCTTAACTTGCGCCAGAGGCCTCTCCTTGTCATTCACGTTCATATTAACGCCATTCATATTCATACCAGCACTGTTCATAGCTAGATTAGGGTTGTTCATATTCATATTCGCATTCATAGTTATGCCTGGACGAGGAGTGGACTGTTGTTGCCGCCTTCTCATCCTTTCCCACTGCTGCTGCTGCTGGTACGCAAGATACTGCGGGTTATTCATCTGCTGAATCTGCGGACTCATTTGCCTTAGAATCTGTGGTATTTACCAAGGTAATAATTAGTAAAAATATGTGTTTACCAATACAACACAAGTTTTGAATAGATTAATAGCCAAGAACTGTTGAATGCCTCGAGAATATTTGCAAATGAAAGTTAAAAGTTGGAATAAGTTAAACCGACTTATAAAAACTTATAGTCTGGATTAAGAGAACATCGAAGGAAAAGATCGAAGGAAAAGAGGAATTGCTGGTATATATTAGTTTATAAATAGAAGCTAAAAGAAGAATATGTTTTAAAGAGGGTGTTCGGACAAGAAGTTTACGAAGTGCTTACTTTGTTGTAAAAAGTTAACCAAAATCTGAAGTTCTTTTAGATTCTGTTTTGAGATTCTAAATTCACTTAATTCATGCATATTCAGAAACAGGACATGGCATTTGAAAATAAGTAAAAACTTCTACTTTCCTGCTTTACCAGAGTGATGTTTTTAACTGTTTGAAAACACTCCCTTAATATGAAATACCTAAAATAACACTTCACAAAAACTTCAGCTGAACCTAAATTACATTAAGCAACTAGTTATGACCAAACGGAAAAGACACACAACCTGCTGTGAATTTGAAATTGAAGGTTGCTGCTGAGCTTGCAACTGTGCTTGCATGCCTAATGCTTGCTGCTGGGTTTGCTGAACAACATTCTTAGTGTTGTCCTTAATAAGTTCCACCAGAGGCCCCAGGTTACTGGAAATAAAAAGTAATCACATTGGACTGTGGGATATTCTTCAAAAATTTTTATATTTGGTACAAAGTGAAGGACTGGTGTGAAATGCCATAAAACCGCATAAAATACATTCAGGGAGGTGGCTCATCACACCTTAAAAAATACACCCAATTGACCGAAAGTTATTTGATATATCACAATATTGTAAATCAAACGCATCTGTCATAATTCTGAACCACAAACAAAAAGAAAATACCAGAAGAAGTGCTTCCAAATTTTGTCACAAAAGAGTAAACAATGCAAAAGGCAAACAACTGCTGATTGTAATTTTCAGCATGTAGAGACGCTATCTAATTTGCGTAGCCTGCATTATCATACCTAACAAAACTGCCACAGAACTAACATATCTATCGCAAGATCTCCACACATAATTAATCTCGCTCTATTACGACGCAGGTCAGACAGAAATATAAATAAAATATTTGTCATCTATCATTACTGAAAGTAGATCATGGACCTATATCTAACAAAACTGCAATGAGCTAATATATGCAGTCTAATGCAAGTTCTGCACATAAAATTGATCTTGCCTTATTACCATGCAGGTCAGATGGAAATAAAAATGAGTGATCAGTCACCATTGAAAGCCGACCACGGGCCTATATTTATTAAAACTGCCAGAAAACTAATATATCTAATGCAAGTTCCCCACATAAAAATAAAAATGTCATCAATCATCATTGAAAGCAGATCGCATACCTATATCCTGCAGTTCGAAGGAACATTTTCAGCAACTCGGTGGCAGAGCACTGCTTTCTATAACTATCAGAAAGGAGCTTCAAGATGCGCCCTAATTTTATGATATGGCAACTCAAAAACTGTCCCATCACTTCTAATGGGGTGTCCGAAGAGGATTCGAACCCCAAATTAGTTAACAACCGAGCTATCACCTTCTGTGACATTTGTGATGCTTGTTCTTGACAAATAAGTTTCCTGTTCCCTGTCTTTCCACCAGTTTGATGTCCTTGTTCCATATTGAGATACTCAGGTCTAATCCCAAGCCTCTCGATCATAATAGGGCTTATAACCGGGCTTTTGGTCAGTATCAGAGGTAAGTTGTCCAAAACCCCATTGCACGGCATTTTCTGCCTGTTCTCCACTCCGCTCGTTAGCGGAACAGCACTATCAGGAACGCAATTTAAAGTAAACATTGTCTCGGGAAAAAGTGGCATATCATCAACTGCAGTAATATCGCTAATTGTCGAGTTTGATAGCAGATCCGTAACATTGTTATCTTTAAAAGCTATTCGCCTCCTTTTGTGATTATTGAGAAGTCTGAGATAAATAGACATCTGTTCAGGTGTTCGTCTTTCTTGCTCTCTATCTCCAAACATCAATGTATAAGATTTACTTGCCTTGTATTTCTCAAAAAATTGAGAATACCATGTTTCTGGCAATTCTTCCGGCCTAAATCTTTGGGACGCAGCATCAACTTCCGTCTCACTATATCTTGATCCAACACCAATTGAAGTCTTAGAATGCCCCTGTACAATGCAACAACAGTGTTGACATGCATAACAAATGGGTGGCATGGACGAAGAAAGAGGGTGGATAACAGTCTAGCACGAGTAGGTTACAGGTAAAAGTATTCATATATTCAATAGAATTAATGTGATCCGATGGTTCAATAGAACGGTAAATGAAGAATCTCACTCTGTAGGAGAAACTTCATTAGGTTAATGATTAAATAGACCTTCCTGATGCAACTTCAATTGAAAGAAGATATACAAGAACAATTCCATAAAATAAAATAAAATGAAGAACCATCATTCTTTTTCTCTTCAGTGAGAGGATCAATAGAGTTCACATAGTTGGGTAAAGCACTTTCATTGTCATGATAAGAAAATGACGATAGTATATGAGTATATATTTAAACTGTCAGTTAATGCTAGTCATTTGGTTGTAGCAGACAATATACATGAAGGAGAATGCATGTTCGAAAGAATAAATATTTTATAGCTAATCCATCAATCTCTGACTAATTCAAAGTGCAAACAGTATTTCTGAAGAAACTATCCAAGTAGGTATATTATTCGTCTAACCTTCAGCAGTTTTTTTTTTTTTTTCCTTTTTTCTAAAAATGTAATCACTGAGAAGCGATAGATAATTACGAAAGTATAGAGGAAATTTCTCTAAATTGTGAAACAATTTTTTTTTGTATATAATTTTTTTTATCAAATCTCTTATTGCTTGATCAGAAGAACTTTTGTGTTGTGCGAGCAAAAGGGAGTGGTGGCTTTGGCTTGTAGCAAGTGTATTTATTTTTTGTCCCATACTACCGCACTATTATACACATCAGGATATACCACAGTTGTCTTTTTCCAGCAAGGATTATTTAAAGAATATATTTCTTCATATTCATCCAAAGATGTACCTTCCACTACAATAGTTATATGACGGGTAATTCAATTTATCACAGAACTACGTCCGCGAATTTGACCAGTTACCCTTCTTGTTTCAGATAGAGATACATAACGAGCTAAAATGCCTACTTCTTAACAAGAAGAGTATACATTTCTTATAGATCTCGCCTAGTGTAGCCTAAACATGAGGTTTGTTTCCTACTAATGAATCATGAGTACTTCTATATATTATTAACATAAGACTAGGCGAAATCTATAATCACTTTTTGCCTGTCCTCTGAAAAAAAGTACGTACGAATTCTCCTAATTTGTGACCTACCATACAATCTGTGTAGCTATTAACTTCCCTGGATCATTATTGCGTAGATCTCAATCACGCCACTGATAAAACCATGCAGCACAATAATCAATTAGCAAATTTCCTTGATCCAGCAGAAGAATGTTTTACGACTAAATGCAGAGCTTTACAGTTTACAGGAGAACAAAATAAAATGAAATGAGTGTATGAAGAAAACATCTGCTTACAGAAACAGCTTTAAAAACTTTTGTTGTTAGGTTTCTGACTAGGAAACAGATTTTGCTAAGAGTCCTGCATTTAGGTTATTTTTCCTACAATGCTTGAGTTTTTTCCTCCTCTCTTATCTCGTGCTATTACAGAATAAGCACTGATGCACATTGCATTAAAAACCTTCTTTACGATTAATAAATCAAAAACACATAATCTGTAGCAGAAATGCAATGAGCTATTAAGGTGAAAATATAACAACCTTGGATGTTGTAGAGTTCGATGCAGCCAAGCCTGGTTGGCGTTGATCACCACCTTGTGCACCATTTTCCAGAGTAAAATACACATCATCACCATGCAACTCCAAATCTGGACCATTTTCACAATACACATGAGAAAATAATATACATTGGATTGCAAGTAGTTGATTTGAAAAACGGTTTGATAAACATGTATATTCCGTTCACTTGCAAGTATGGAAAAAGGTAAGAGAGTAAATAGCTAGTCACAAATCCATATATAAGAAAACAAACCAGCCAGCATGAGAGTTTCAAAAAGCAACCAAGGCATCATTCATGATTTAGAAACAAAATAACTCAAAATCCATGGTTTCCAGGTAGAACCCTATTTCACCCAAGTTGTTTCGGAATCGGAAAAAAAGGAACGGTTTTTCGATCAGTAGCTTGCTCATAGTGCAGGTCCCACTTGCATATTGTATTTGTCCGGTGAAGCATCAGAAGCTTATAAGTGTTGACTACGAACATTTTGCAATAGAACATTCCCACAAACACAACATAATTATGGAAGAGGCATAACAGAAACTTGATACAAAACCACAATCCAAATTGCCATAAATGAAGAATCACAATAGCAGAACAACCATGGACAGTGTTGATCTCGATCCACAAAAATGCAAAATTGACAACAACAACATCAACAATCAACCACTTAACAATAAGGCCTCAAAATAAAAATAAAAAATTCCCCATTCAGAAATCAATTCTCGACTCATATTCAGCTTACACAGTGGAGAAAGCAGAAAATAAGCCAGAAAAAAAAACTTACAATTAGGATTTAGCTTAGAAACGGAGGCATAGGGGCCGGATTGAGCGAAGAGAGAGACAGAAGCCTTATCAAAGAGCAGAGCGCGAGCGCGAAGCTGGAGGCAGATCTGAGACTTCGTCTTCTTGTCGTCGGCTCGCATGAAAGCTTCCCAAGTGGCCGGCGACGAGAGGGAAGGGATGAAGTTGGAGTAGAGGGCGTCGCCAAGCCACGACCGCCACACGCCGTGGCTCTCAAGCTTCCGCGCCAGCTCGTAGCCCCTGCCGTCGTCTCCCAGCAACGACATCCCGTGGCTCAGTCAACAAAAGAAAAAGCTCTCTAATTAAGAGAGTACCGACGGGGGTTTA